CCCACATTTCAAGACTTCTACATACGCCACTGCTAATTGGACAACCTCTATTAAGGAACCAGCATCATAAGGACCAATCAGTTCCTCCCCTTGGCATAAGCTCAGGTATATGTCTATTGCTAATTTTATTATGATTAAAAAAACTATAAAATAATTAAAATGGTACAGATAACATTCATTAGAATTGATCATTAGCATTGAATTGAAATCTGTTTAACATATTCACTGTCATGGAATAGAATACCCATCTCACCTTGAATGCTGCAGAGTGGTATATTATTTATCTATTCTAATTGCTTAGTATTGTATTTAGTGGTGTTACCACAACTGTGCAAACACAACAATAACAGCTCATAAAGTTATCTAATAATCTGATTGAAATATTGTGTTTTATTATGTGAAACTGGGAATTATGTCAACTTGGCGACACCCTTGAAAACTTGTTTCAAAATCGGTAGAACTTTGTCATGCTGCATGTCAGCAAATGTTAACTACAGTACAAGAGCTGAATAATCAAGATTATGACCACTGTAGGCCTACTATACTTTTGATTTTAACAATGGTTTTATTATATTTACTATTGATAGAGGAGATGTGTTTTTATCAAGCAGACATTTGTAAAAAGCCAGAAGAAATTATATAAACTAGTGCATAGGGTTTCTTTAAGAATAATGAGTTTTAAATATATTTTTAGTTTTTAAAAAATAGTAGTCATCAATCAGTTGTAGTAGATTAACTTAAAAATCCTTCTTCATTGAAAATTAATAAAATTTATTTGTTTTTGTCATTCTTCTTTAATGGGTCATTCCCATCTTTTGAATAATGTTGCTAAGGTCTTATAAACAACAGTAAATTTGCATGTATTCCTGGCGCTAGCTTGTTAAAAGAAATGTCCATTATTATTATTATTATTATTATTATGTGTGTGCTATGAATATTATATATTAATATGATTATATTATTGTAGTAATATTAATAATATTAATAAAAGAGGTCTGTAAATTCTGATAAAACTACCGTATACACTACAGTTCGCCCTCCAATTCGAGACCACCTTTGGGACCTGAAAATTTGGGGTGGTCTCGGGGTTGGTCTCCAATTAAAAGGTTAGTTTTGTGTTAAAAGGTTAAGATTGTTAATTGGGTCTTTGGAAAAATGGTCTCAAATTAGAGGGATCTCGAATTGGAGGGTGCACTGTATATCTTTTATATAGTTGTCTGAGGCAAATAATTGCCATTTTTTGTTTTACCTGTGACTTAATGTTGATAACTGATTGGCATGAGCAAGTCAAAATTTTATTTTACTTTTTAATGTTTTTTTAGTTCCTATGCATGTAATGCAATAGGAACTATTGTAATCACTCTTGCTATTTCCTATGTTTTTTATTGTGTGTAGTGTGTATGTGTGTGTGTAGACATTTATGCAAATGCGCATGCG